AGAGAGGAGCCGTGTATTACTGTGATATAGTATTTTAATAGGATGTATTATAATGATATAGTATTATAGTAAGAGCTGTGTATTATATTGATATAGTATTATAGTAGGAGCTGTGTATTATATTGATATAGTATTATAGTAGGAGCTGTGTATTATATTGATATAGTATTATAGTAGGAGCTGTGTATTATATTGATATAGTATTATAGTAGGAGCTGTGTATTATATTGATATAGTATTATAGTAGGAGCTGTGTATTATATTGATATAGTATTATAGTAGGAGCTGTGTATTATATTGATATAGTATTATAGTAGGAGCTGTGTATTATATTGATATAGTATTATAGTAAGAGCTGTGTATTATATTGATATAGTATTATAGTAAGAGCTGTGTATTATATTGATATAGTATTATAGTAAGAGCTGTGTATTATATTGATATAGTATTATAGTAGGAGCTGTGTATTATATTGATATAGTATTATAGTAAGAGCTGTGTATTATATTGATATAGTATTATAGTAAGAGCTGTGTATTATATTGATATAGTATTATAGTAAGAGCTGTGTATTATATTGATATAGTATTATAGAGGAGCCGTGTATTATATTGATATAGTATTATAGAGGAGCCGTGTATTATATTGATATAGTATTATAGTAGGAGCTGTGTATTATATTGATATAGTATTATAGTAGGAGCTGTGTATTATATTGATATAGTATTATAGAAGAGCTGTGTATTATGATATAGTATTATAGTAGGAGCTGTGTATTATATTGATATAGTATTATAGTAGGAGCTGTGTATTATATTGATATAGTATTATAGTAAGAGCTGTGTATTATATTGATATAGTATTATAGTAGGAGCTGTGTATTATATTGATATAGTATTATAGTAGGAGCTGTGTATTATATTGATATAGTATTATAGTAGGAGCTGTGTATTATATTGATATAGTATTATAGTAAGAGCTGTGTATTATATTGATATAGTATTATAGTAGGAGCTGTGTATTATATTGATATAGTATTATAGTAGGAGCTGTGTATTATATTGATATAGTATTATAGTAGGAGCTGTGTATTATATTGATATAGTATTATAGTAGGAGCTGTGTATTATATTGATATAGTATTATAGTAGGAGCTGTGTATTATATTGATATAGTATTATAGTAGGAGCTGTGTATTATATTGATATAGTATTATAGTAGGAGCTGTGTATTATATTGATATAGTATTATAGTAGGAGCTGTGTATTATATTGATATAGTATTATAGTAAGAGCTGTGTATTATATTGATATAGTATTATAGTAAGAGCTGTGTATTATATTGATATAGTATTATAGAGGAGCTGTGTATTATATTGATATAGTATTATAGAGGAGCTGTGTATTATATTGATATAGTATTATAGTAGGAGCTGTGTATTATATTGATATAGTATTATAGTAGGAGCTGTGTATTATATTGATATAGTATTATAGTAGGAGCTGTGTATTATATTGATATAGTATTATAGTAGGAGCTGTGTATTATATGATATAGTATTATAGTAGGAGCTGTGTATTATATTGATATAGTATTATAGTAGGAGCTGTGTATTATATTGATATAGTATTATAGTAGGAGCTGTGTATTATATTGATATAGTATTATAGTAGGAGCTGTGTATTATATTGATATAGTATTATAGTAGGAGCTGTGTATTATATTGATATAGTATTATAGTAAGAGCTGTGTATTATATCGATATAGTATTATAGTAAGAGCTGTGTATTATATCGATATAGTATTATAGTAGGAGCTGTGTATTATATTGATATAGTATTATAGTAAGAGCTGTGTATTATATTGATATAGTATTATAGTAGGAGCTGTGTATTATATTGATATAGTATATATTATAGGAGCTGTGTATTATATTGATATAGTATTATAGTAGGAGCTGTGTATTATATTGATATAGTATTATAGTAGGAGCTGTGTATTATATTGATATAGTATTATAGTAGGAGCTGTGTATTATGTGTATTATATTGATATAGTATAGTATAGTAGGATGTGTATTGATATAGTATTATAGAGGAGCTGTGTATTATATTAGATATAGTATTATAGTAGGAGCTGTGTATTATATTGATATAGTATTATAGTAGGAGCTGTGTATTTATTGATATAGTATTATATAGTATTATATTTATAGTATTATAGGAGCTGTGTATTATATTGATATAGTATTATAGTAGGAGCTGTGTATTATATTGATATAGTATTATAGTAGGAGCTGTGTATTATATTGATATAGTATTATAGTAGGAGCTGTGTATTATATTGATATAGTATTATAGTAGGAGCTGTGTATTATATTGATATAGTATTATAGTAAGAGCTGTGTATTATATTGATATAGTATTATAGTAGGAGCTGTGTATTATATTGATATAGTATTATAGTAGGAGCTGTGTATTATATTGATATAGTATTATAGTAGGAGCTGTGTATTATATTGATATAGTATTATAGTAGGAGCTGTGTATTATATTGATATAGTATTATAGTAGGAGCTGTGTATTATATTGATATAGTATTATAGTAGGAGCTGTGTATTATATTGATATAGTATTATAGTAGGAGCTGTGTATTATATTGATATAGTATTATAGTAGGAGCTGTGTATTATATTGATATAGTATTATAGTAGGAGCTGTGTATTATATTGATATAGTATTATAGTAGGAGCTGTGTATTATATTGATATAGTATTATAGTAGGAGCTGTGTATTATATTGATATAGTATTATAGAGGAGCTGTGTATTATATTGATATAGTATTATAGAGGAGCTGTGTATTATATTGATATAGTGTTATATTATATTGATGTTTATTATACAGTGCAGTCAGTCAGTGGGTGGGTAGGTGTTGTGTGACTGTGATATGAATCCAGGCAGTGACACACACACAGTGTACAGGACTCACCTTGGACACCATGCCTCCCTCCTCCTACCCACATAGGGTCAGTACGGCGGCCGCGGAGGGACAAACCTTCCCAGTCAGTGAGATCGCCGAGCTGATCTGCCAGGCTGGGGCTGATCACGTGACTGAGACAGCTGCAGGCTGGGGCTCATCACGTGACTGAGACAGCTGCAGGCTGGGGCTCTGGGCTCTCAGAGTCAGACAGTGCACACCATAGACATAGAATACTATGTATGTGGTGCACACAGAGCTTTACCTCCTGACTGTGCAGCTCACAGTGTACTCACTGCTGTACCAATACATGGGCTGCAAACTGCACCATTCCTCATAATGGGTCACTGCCACAGAGAAACAAGCAATGGGTCTGACTCTGTCCTGCACTGACTGTCATTTATACCTGGGTTTGTGAATTGCACAGCTAAGGCTGAGTGTTCTCCTGGAAAAAATGAGTATACACAGGAATATAAACATTTATTTCAATTTTTTAAAGAAATACTCCAAGCACCATAACCACTACAGCCCACTGTAGAACTAATAGGCCCAGGATGTCCTGGCACCATCCCATGATAGGTAGTTAAACCGTTTTTAGTACAGTTTGAACACTTTTGTGGGTCTCTTGTGGTCCGTGGCTGCACTCCCTGCTTCCGATTTTCTCCTGTAGGAGAATCCGGTTAGCTCTAGAGGGCCCCGCAGGACAACACTCATTGAGTGTCAGCTGAGCGCCATCATCAAATTAGCGAAGTACTGTGTCTCCCTGATTTTAGTCCACCTTGACGCCTTGCTTGTCGTGCAGTAGCGGTGTGTACGCAACGGGGGCCTGGTAGATTATCAAGCCAATCTAAAATGGTTTGATTACTTAAGGGACACTTTAAGCACCAAAACAACTTCAGCTTAATGTGTGTGGGGTACTATACATGCGCTATAGCCTCACTGCAATTTTCTGCTATTTAGACGTTAAATTACTTTATTTATGCAGACCTAGCTGAGATTCACACGGCTTCCCTACAAACGTACTGAAATAGAGTCTACATTTCTTAGCTTTACTTATTGTGCAGTCTGTTTAGTTTAAAGGGTTATTCACTAACGTGAGAATTCACAGTAAATTCTAAATTAATTTCACATTTAAGGCCAAACAGCCAAACTCGAATCTCTAGGTCAGCCATCCTTTCAGAACAGCTACCTTGGCCTTCACTTAAAATTTTCCCTTTTGTGAATAACCCTGTTGTAATATTGTATCTCCTGCTCTGTTAATAGTCTGCTGGAGCCTGTAGGAGCTTTGTGTGTGATTAAAGTTCAATCAACAGAGTAGGAAATGAGATCTAATTGAAAACGAAACCATTTAAATTTAAATAGGCTGTAGTTGTTATGGTACTTGCAGTGTTCCATTATCTACTTGCCCGCTGGCCTCAAGTCACCTAGATATTTAGAATTTGCTTCCAGAATATTTGTATCCAGATGGAGATCATTCAGACCTCAGTGAGTATCTCTTCTTGTCGGTACTGTGTCTGTACTGTATGTCTGTATTATGTGATTGTATGGGCTCCTCAAACTGCACATTTGTTGGTTTTGTCCACAACCCAATCTTCCATTGAGAGAATGAGTACAATTAATCAGGATTCAGGAAACAACACAATCAAACAAAAAGGACCATTCAATGCAGAGAATTCAGTTTATTGAAAGCCATCCTAAACAACTGAAGATTGCAATATATTTCTTTTAAAACAAAAGATAATTTTAATTAAGTTAGAATAAATATATTCAATGTGCAGATTGCGTTTTTTAAATAAGTATTTTTTTCTCTAATTTCTTGCCAAAAAAAAAGAAGAGAGCAATATGTTCCTTTTTTTTTTATAATGTCGCAGTGCAACTTACATTTTACACACCTGTGCAATTTACCATGAGGTATCAGTCCAGTGAGGAATACACAGTGAAATTTATATTAATTAACATTAATTTACGTTTTCCCCTAAATAGGGCAACGTGAAGAAAATTACCAGTATTAGGCCAAAAATAGCCAAAATGTTATGCAGCGAATATATCCTTGGTAGTCGACTACAGGTGGTCAACCTTTGACCTGCGATCCAGTCTCTTACTGGACCACAACTCTTGAAAAGCTCAGCCTTTGAGGTTGATGGGAGTGGTAGTGAAAAAACAGCCAGTGTGCTTCCGTTTGACCAGTCTTGTTTAAAAAATACAAACAAATGCCTTTTAACCTTGATAAAAGGGAACATGTATCTACAAACAGGAAGAGACATAGTCACAAAATGATTTGCTGTGCATTGTTACCACTTTTCCCGTAGATTGTTAGTTCTTGTAACCAGGACCCAAATCACCTCTTATTTTAGTCCTGCTTAGTCGTTTCCGATGCAATTGATGTTTGTTTATATTTAGTGATGTCCCGAACTGTTCGCCGGACGGTTCGCCACAGGTGGCGAACATATGCGCTGTTCGGTCCGCCCCCTATGTCATCATTGAGTAAACTTTGACCCTGTACCTCATAGTCGGCAGACACATTCCAGCCAATCAGCAGCAGACCCTCCCTCCCAGACCATCCCACCTCCTGGACAGCTCACTAAGAATGCAGCTTCACAATGGATGCTGTCCAGGAGGTGGGAGGGTCTGGGAGGGAAGGTCTGCTGCTGATTGGCTGGAATGTCTCTGCTGATTGTGAGGTACAGGGTCAAAGTTTACTCAATGGCGAACCGTTCGGGACATCACTATTTATATTCCATATCGTTAAGCACTTTGTAACTTGTTGGTGTTGTGAAAATAACGATCCTAATCAAACTTACAAACTTAGGCCAAACTAGCCCAATTTGAGAGTTGTTCCTTTTAAATTTTACGGGTTGTCAGAGACAAAGAAAGAAAAAACAACATGTTTGATTAATTGATCACCATAAATCCCAAATGGAAAAGTCAAAAAAGCTTATTTTATAAATACAGACAGGTTATCCGGACTGGTGGTAACACAAACTGTTTTTTCCTAGTAACATACAATTACACATGCACACCACGTTAGTTATCTGTAATAGAAGCTGACCACATTCATTTGGAATATTCATTAGTTTGTCCTTGGTGCCACTAGAATAACTTTTTAAAAATTCTATACTTATAGACCCCTTAATGCTAATATGCTGACATTCTGTAGAGAATTTATGATACATGATTGCAAGTTTCAAACTTAGCAACAATAAGCTTAATAAAGCAGCTACAGCATGATTTTTTTTTCAATGTAATATTTATGTATAAAACAGTTTTATGTAATGGTCTTATTTAGAGAGCTTTGACAAAATAGAGCAGTTGATCATAGGCAGAGTTAAAGGGACACCGTAGGCACTGTATCTGCTTCATCTCATTAAACTGGTTATAGTGTCTGGAGTACCCTGTTGAATCATTTCTTTCAGCATTAAACAGTTTTTAATATTGTAATGTTTTTAATGCTAAACAAAAGTACCCGGCAGTCCATCCCCTCTGTGCTGCTTTGGCTAATAAGGAAGTATTACCCTGAGCAGCAATGGGCAGCTGTGATTGGCTGAGAGTGTCAGCTGACTGCTTTTAGCCTGTCAGAGCTCCAACTGACGGTATGAATGGGTATGACAACAAGGAAGTGTGTAATCTCTGCCTTAGCTACACATACAGAAGGGGCCAGACTGTGGGTGGCCAGTGACTCTTATTTTGTGGCATACTGCACAAACATGGTGCAACACTGAATGGAGGGACAGTGCCAGGGCACTCCAGGCACTATAACCAATTCAAAGAGAAGAAATGGTTATAGTGACTACAGTGTCCCTTTAAGGACAGGATCTTGTAAGATCTTTGTAATATAGATTTCTGCACATGCATATACTAATACCTATATCGTTTGGTAAGTGTACAGTTTATATGTCCCTGGCAGATTGGAAATAACAAATTCACAGTTTTTCATGATGGTCTTATTTTGTAGATGGTTTGTATATGTAACTCTTCATCTATGGTCAATGGATGGTAAAAGAAAAATAAATATATGCCAGTCTGGTCATGTTAATGTTTTTTTGTTTGTGGCGTGCAGTTGAGAGTGAAGACTCATTGTAATTCTCTATGAGTTGAATCCTTCTGGTGCACCGTGGTGATTGCTGTTGTTTTGATGCCAATAATATCCTTTTTGTACAGAATAGCTAGGAATAAAGCCTAACTTACTTAGAGAATGCTTTCAGTTTGGCTTTGTTGGTCTTAAAGCAACACACCGAACCCCTAAAGCTCTTTAGCTTAGTGAAATGCTTTATGTGTGAAGAATGTGTCCTCTTTTTCATTTTACAAAATTGCACTTGAACTTCCTGAAGAGCTTCTAAGGAAGTCCAAGCAGGGCCGGACTGGGAGAAAAATTCGGCCCGGGCATTTTTTTAACACAGCGGCCCACTAAAAAGGGGGCGGGGCAGAGGAGGTGTGTTTTGTCATCACCAATGACAAACATGCCTCCTCTCAAAGTGAGCATGTTGGTTCAATGCTCTTCCAGGGCAGACCATGCGCAGAGCTCTGATGAAGAGCTCTAGCATGAGAAAAAAAGTCCTGTATTTGTTCTGCACAGTGCAAGCAAATTTAATAACATGCTTGCACTGTGTTTCCTTGCAACTTGTCTCTGGTGTCTCTATAAATGGATACCAGGAGACAAAAGGCCAGGAAAGAGTATTGTGCATGTGTTTGGAGCCTGCTTGTGGTATTGGGTGTGTGTAGAGTGAGCTGGTCGTGGTGTGGTATTGTGTAATAAGGTCGGTTTTAGTCGTGTTGTGTTTGTGGTGTAATGTGATGCATATGTGGCTCAGGGACCCCCTCCCGTCCGGCTCTGGAAAAGGGTTAAAACTTACCTTTTTCCAGCGCCGGGCGGGGAGCTCTCCTCCTCCAATCCGCCCCGTCGGCTGAATGCGCACGCGCGGCAAGAGCTGAGCGCGCATTCAGCCGGTCGCATAGGAAAGAATTTATAATGCTTTCCTATGGACGCTTGCGTGCTCTCACTGTGATTTTCACAGTGAAAAGCACGCAAGCGCCTCTAGCGGCTGTCAATGAGACAGCTGCTAGAGGCTTTGGGGAAAGGCTTAACCCATTGATAAACATAGCAGTTTCTCTGAAACTGCTATGTTTATAAAACAATGGGTTAACCCTAGAAGGACCTGGCACCAAGACCACTTCATTAAGCTGAAGTGGTCTGGGTGGCTAGAGTGGTCCTTTAAGAGTGTAGTGTGTGTGTGTATGTATATGTATATGTGTGTGTGTATATATATATATATATATATATATTTGGAAGTATTGTGTATGTGTGTGGTGCAGTGTGTTGGGGGGGTTCTGTGTGTATGTGAGGGGTGCAGTATGTGTGTGTGTGAGGGGTGCGGTGTGTGAGAGTGCGGTGTGTGTGAGAGTGCCGTGTGTGTGATGTGTGTGAGAGTGCCGTGTGTGAGTGATGGGTGTGAGAGTGCCGTGTGTGAGTGATGGGTGTGAGAGTGCTGTGTGAAAGTGCTGTGTGAGATGGGTGTGTGAGATGGGTGTGAGAGTGCTGTGAGAGAGTGCTGTGTGTGTGAAAGTGCTGTGTGAGAGAGTGCTGTGTGTGTGTGAGTGCTCTGTGAGAGTGCTGTGAGAGAGTGCTGTGAGTGTGATGGGTGTGAGGGTGCTGTGAGAGAGTGCTGTGTGTGTGAAAGTGCTGTGTGTGTGAGAGTGCTGTGAGAGTGCGATGGGTGTGAGAGTGTTGTGTGAGAGAGTGCTGTGTGTGATGGGTGTGAGAGTGCTGTGTGTGATGGGTGAGAGAGTGCTGTGTGAGAGAGTGCTGTGTGTAATGTGTGAGAGAGTGCTGTGTGTAATGTGTGAGAGAGTGCTGTGTGTGATGGGTGAGAGTGCTGAGTGTGCTGAGTGTGAGAGTGCTGAGTGTGAGAGTGCTGTGTATGATGTGTGTGAGAGTGCTGTGTGTGAGAGTGTGTGTATGATGTGTGTGAGAGTGCTGTGTATGATGTGTGAGAGTGCTGTGTGTGATGGGTGTGAGAGTGCTGTGTGTGATGGGTGTGAGTGCTGTGTGTGATGGGTGTGAGAGTGCTGTGTGTGATGGGTGTGAGTGCTGTGTGTGATGGGTGTGAGAGTGCTGTGTGTGATGGGTGTGAGAGTGCTGTATAAATGTTATTGTGTGTGTGTGGGGGGGTAAATAAAAAAAATAAATAAAACAAAAAACAGTCATTATTCCACCCCCCCTCCCTTCTTACCTTTAGCCTGGGAGAGGGAGGGGGGGGGGATCGGCACGCTGGCACCTGGCAGGCGGGGTGGCGGGGTTCCCTGGTGGTCCTCGTGGGTGAGTGAACTCTCGCGAGATCCGGTCGTTGCCATGGCAACGCGCCGGATCTCGCGAGAGGAACCCGGCGGAGCTGCAAATTAGAGCTCCGCCGGGTCCTCTCTCCAGCCTGGCTGGCTGGCCCCTCCCTCCCCGCCGGCGGCCGCATGTGGGCCGGTGAGGGAGAGCTTTGATCTCCCCACCGGCCCGTCGTGGCAGACAGCGGGGCCGGCGCTGGGACAGTGCCGGCCCTGCAGGGGCCGCCCGGGGAGATCCTGTGACCTCCCCTGCCGGCCTCGGCCCCACGGCCACCGCGGCCCACCGGGCATTTGCCCGGTGTGCCCGATGGCCAGTCCGGGCCTGAGTCCAAGTGACGAAAGGTGTCGAGCAGCTACAAGAGCCCTGCGTTCGTGGTACAGCAGTCTTTATTCTACCAGTATACTGTTGTTATTTGTGTTAATGTGTTGTTTGTGAAAGAGTGATTTTTTGCACTCTGGCACTTTTGCCACTTGCACTTTTTATCATCTATACAGTTACTTGTATGGTTTAAGCTGCTGTCCATAAGGGCTGTATAGCCTTGTTTGGCTTTTTAGATATACACGTTTGTGTTGTGATTTTGCACAGTTTGTGTGCTATTATCTATTTTAACTTTATTTCTTACCAATAAAGTGGATGTTCGTTTTTCATATATTGTCTCCTCTATCTATGATAATCTCCAGACGAAGTTTTACTTTGTGACTGTGGCGTTCTGTTTTTTCTGATTCGTGTTCAGGAATTTGTGGCCTTTCTATATGGAGGTTTTGGAGTGACCTCATGACAGTGGCTTGCCTGCACTAGTTTATTTCACCACCGACCCTTTTACGTTTTGGTCCACATTATAACAATGACTGACAGGGAGCTGAGACGGAGGAGCCCATTAACAGAATATTGAGGAGTGGGTTTCTATGTGTAATTTTATTTTTCACACCCCACAAATACACATTTGTTAAATCTAGGGATAAGCGACCTTAAATGGACGCTAATGACGAGGTCTGGGTGCAGTGGTCCTGTCCTGTATATGTAACTCTTCATTATAAAACAATGCCGCTTTACTGACAGCCACTAGAGTTGCTCCCCCTGCACTCACCGTCACGTGACATGGCAGCTCATAGGAAAGCACTGAATACAATGGTTTCCTACGCACCGTGCATGCGCCTCAGGCCTCCATAGCTTGTCTATGAGGATCATTGGATTGGACTAGTGCTGGAAGAGGTCATATCGCCTCAATGATGTCATGGGAAGCGGAGACGTGAGCAGCACTAAGGGAGTCTTGGCACTGGAAAATGATGAGCACGAGTGGGGAAGATGGGGGGACACTAGTCTAGATATAGGCAGGGACACTAGAGTTAGGAATACAAGTTTTATTCCTAACGATATACAGGGTTATTCAAGGGAAATTTCAAATTTAAGGTAAATATAGCTGGAAATAATGTTCTAACTCTACTTTGGCCTTGCACTGGAAATTCACTTTGAATTCACGTTCAATTTTCCTTTTAGTGAATGACCCTGATAGTGTTTCTGTAATATTAAAAATCCTGAAAATTTACAGCTCCTCTTTAATCCTTAAAACCCATATGACGTGCTCCACTTTAAAAGAATAGAACCACGTTTAAAAAAAATAAAAAATTTGACTCCTTTGTTGGCTAAAAAGAAGAATTGTTCCAAATGAATTTTAGGATTGGAGAACTGTTCTTTAACCATCTCTTTCTCTAACCCGTCAATAAAGTTGTTTCAAACCGTATTTAATTTTCTTCACCATCAAACCCCTCAGGTCCTAGTTGATATGACTTGTTCTATGTTTTTTTTGATGAATTGTGGCTACACCTGTACCAATTATCCTTCTAGAGGCCAGGCTCCAATTTCTCGCCTTCTTTCTTTAAATGAAAGTCAAAATATAAAACATTCAATGTATCCCACTTCTCCAGAGGGTCAATTTACTGTTGCAAGTATGTCACCAACTCACCAAAATTAACCAAACTCCACACCAAAGGGGAGGATTAGACAATGCATTCTCTTACATGGCAAATTCTATTGTATCATAAACATGAGTTATACAAATAGGGTATATAATCTTGTAGATCCCATCTATTTATTGAAAAAAAGGAAGGGACACCATTGAACAAATAGGTTGTATTTAAAGGGACACTGTAGTCACCAGAACAACTACAGCTTATTGAACTTGTTCTGGTGAGTATAATCATTACCTTCAGGCTTTTTGCTGTAAACACTGTATTTTCAGTGAAAAGGTAGTGTTTACGTTACAGCCCAGTGATATCTCCTCTGGCCACTCCTCAGATGGCTGCTAAAGCTGCTTCCTGGGGCAGTGCTGCACAGTGTGACTGACATTCATTGCCTCCATCCTCTACACGGAGACACAGAACTTTCCTCATAGAGATGCATTGATTCAATTCATCTCTATGAGGAGATGCTGATTGGCCAGGGCTGTGCTTGAATCATGTTGGCTCTGCCCCTGATCTGCCTCCTTGACAGTCTCAGCCAATTCTATGGGGAAGCTCTGTGATTGGCTCAGACAACCACTTCTGATGATGTCAGCAGACAGCAGGCAGTTTCAGGTGCAGAGCCAGCAGCTGCAGACTTGAATACAAGTAAGATTGTACTATATTTAGGGAGTCAAGATGGCTCAGAGGGGCTAGATGGGTGGTTCTAGGTGATTTTAACATTATATGGTCAGGAATACATGTTTGTGTTCCTAAACGTATAGTGTCCCTTTAAGATTACCTTAATACACCTAAATAAGTTGCATACAAAGGTATATATCTACAAGTTACACTGCATTTATGTTGTGAGATTGTCTCACATTGTGTGCAGGGCCGTCTTTAATATTGATTGGACCCTGGGCAAGCATTGCCCTGTCATGCAATCACGCCCTCCTTCGCAAAATAGTGGCTGAACTAAACTAGAAGGGGCCCTGGTGCAAGGCTTCTTTTGGGCCCCGCTATCACAAGCATGGCCAAAAGGTAGATCCCCATCTGTCATACAACTCCAACACTGCTTTGACAGCTGGGGCTTCACCATTGTCCAAAGCTTGCAGGGTTGTATTTAGTTTGTAATGAGCAGTGTTTGTGTGTTTGAATGTAAGCATGTTTTTGTATGGAGTATGTTTGTGTGAATGTAGGGGTGTGTTCATATGTGGTGTTGGCGTTTGAATGCAAGTATGCATTTATGTGTATGCAGTGTATGTTTATATATAATTTTGGTGTTTTTAACACAGAAGTGTGTTTGTATGTAGTGTTAACATTTCAATGCAGGAGTGTGTTTGTATGTAGTGTTGGTGTTTGAATGCTGAAAAGTATACACATATACTCATGCATTGCCACACACACTGTGATACATACACACACACACATACAGATACACAACCTGACACACATGCAGATAAACAGACACACGGATACCATCACTGACACACATGCAAATACACAGACACACAGATTCAAACAATGCCACACATGCAGATACACAGACACATAGATACACACACTGACACATGCAGACATACATATGCACACATTGAGAACATACAGACACACATACGGACATAGATACAAACCTGACACACATGCAGATGCAGACACATAGAAACACACACACACATATATACACACACAGATACACACACAAACATACAGATACACAAACTGACAAGTACAGATGCACAGACACATACTGACAGACATTCTGACACATATAGACACATACACCGACACACACATACACACAGACATACTGAAACACACATACACATGCACAGACAGATATGCTGACACGCACAAACAGGCATACTGAGACACAGAGACAGACATACTGGCACACACAGACAGTCATACTGGCACACACACAGACAGATATACTGGCACACACACAGACAAACATACTGGATCACACACAGACATAGTGACACACATACACACAGGCAGACATACTGTCACAGATACACACAAACAGAGATACTGACACACCGAACGACATACTGACAGACAGACATACTGACACACACACACGCATACATACTGGAACACACACACATAGACACACTGACAGGCATACAGACATACTGAAACACACAGACACTGACAGACATACACACATATACTGATAGGCATACACACAGACATACTGACAGACATACTGACACACACACACTCACACCGACAAACATGCTGACACACAAACATACTGACACACACACACACACTCACTCAGACACACTGGCACACACACTCAGACATATATGCAAATTTTACAATTTATTAGCCACCCTCCAGTTTCTTACCTTTTCCTGGACGGTGGCTTCCCTGGGGTCTAGTGTGCTGGCTGGGGTGGCTGGGAGTTAAGCTCTGGATTTCTCCCAGCCTGGCCCCCTTCTCACTGCCTTTTCCTGCACAGCTGGTCCTCCTCCCTCCCACGCAGCTCTGGGACGCAGTGACAAGCCTTCACTTCCTCTCATGCTGCCGAAAAGCAAGGGGCCCAGTTGCTCTGTTAAAGGGCCACAGCACCCGATCAGGCCCCTGCTGACACAAGCCCTAAGTGCATGGGCCACCCGATGGGCCCCTTTAGTGTGCGGGCCTGCTGCCCGCAACAATTTATTTTAGGATCGGTGATCCCAAAATAAATTGTTGCAGGAAGAGGGCAAACAGGGCAGCTGCCTTGGGCCCCCCAGCAGTAGCAGGGCCCAGGGCAGCTGCCCCCCTTGCCCCGCATTAAAGACGGCCATGCATGTGTCTGACAGTGGAAATCTCTGTATGTCTCTAAAAGAGTTTGTGTCTAACATTGAATATCTGTGTATGTGTGTGTGTGGGATCATGTAGTTAAACCTAACATTGTGTATCTATGTGTATTGTGGAACAGTAAATGTATATGACAGTTTTTGTATGTAACACAAGGAATTTGTATTTGTATCTAGGTGGAACACCCAGCAAAATTCTTTAAGGTGCCCCAAGAAGAATGGTAGAATGCATATATATATACAAAAATGTGATTTATAACACTGTTGAACAAATTTGCATATGCCCACACAGAATCCTTTGCGGTAGTAACATCACTGCAAATTTGTGATTTCTGAGAAAAGCAAGTCTTATGGCTTGACTGGTGTGCAGATTTTTGTTTAACATTGTATTACCTGTATATATATATATATATATATATATATATATATATAGTCATAAATAACTTGGCACTCACCCCTTCATCACATTCCAAATATGTGCCTTGGTGCAAACCCGCATTGAATATATAGAAAAATTAAAGGAAGGGTGCACTCTGAGGTCTTCTTAAAATATATATATTTATATAAACTGAGATTGTCACTATGTTTGTATGTGTGTACCAATAAGCTTGTCTGCGTATGTCAGTGAGATTGTTGTCAGTGAGTCTATGTGTGTGTATCAGTGAGCTTATGTTTCTTTGTCAGTGAGCTTATGTGTATCAATAATATTGTCTGTCTGTAAGCCTGTGTATCAATGAGCTTGTGTCAGTGAGATTGTCTATGTCTGCGTGTAAATATGCATACTGTATTATTTACTATTTTTATCCTGAAAGGACCAATATTAGAAATTAGGATAAGAATTAGAAAAACTAAACATACCAAATAATATCAGGAAGTATTACTTTACTGAGAGGGTAGTGGATGCATGGAATAGCCTTCCAGCTAAAGTGGTAGAGGTTAACACAGTAAAGGAGTTTAAGCATGCGTGGGATAGGCATAAGGCTATCCTAACTATAAGATAAGGCCAGGGACTAATGAAAGTATTTAGAAAATTGGGCAGAGTAGATGGGCCGAATGGTTCTTATCTGCCGTCACATTCTATGTTTCTATGTTTCTATACCAATAATATGTATAACAGAGCATTTTTGTATATATGTATTATCTTAATTATCTTTTTATTGTCCTGATGAATGGTCCTGTAGTGAACTGAAACTTTAACCTTTTCCTGATGAATTAAAAATATAATAAAGCATGTTTTTGTATTGGATGACCCAGAGTGGTATGGATTGGAAACATATTGTGCGTGTGTATGTATATATTTATATACACACACACACATACTGGCACTCTGGGTCGTCCAAAACCAAAAAATGCAACTTATAGAGCTGACATACATTTTTTTCCAGTCCAGCTCTGATTTAGAATCTCCTAAATAAAAAATACATACTTCAGGACAGCAGTTTTCATAAGCGTACTCAATTCAGTTGATCACGATCTGATATTCCCGCAAGCATAAAAGAAAAGCAAATGATTTTAAAAATGCACAAAATAATCACAGTTGAGATCAAGTGCATTCTTTTTAATGTCATGAGAAGAATGTTTTCTAAACACAAGTAAGAGCAAATCAATTATTAAAAATATGTTAAAAACTGTTGTACAGTTACAAAAATATTTACACAACATATTGACAGGTTTATAACATTAACACTACATTTTTAGGCTGACTTTAAGATCCAAGTTAATTACCCGATATCTCTTCTAACCAGGGATTGCTGCACTGCATTCTACCTTGTTTCTAAGTGTTAGATTTGGAGGGGTGGGGGGGTCTCTTGCCACCCCAGCCCAGACCTGATTTGGAAAGTGCACAATATTCTGGTATTCAGGAGAGGAAGATGTGTGTCCAACTTGCATGATTTAAAACATACAATTCATATCATGGTCTAGTATTTTTTTATTTATTTTTTATTTACAAACAGATTTGTTTCTTAATTTTGACTATTATAGCCTAGATAACCTCAATTCATGTGTAAATTGTCACAAAGAGGAAGGGAATTCAGAGTAAATTTCATATTGGAGGCCAAAGTAGCGAAAAAATCTGCAATCTCCTGTGTTTTCAGTTCAGCTAAATAGATCTAAAATTTGAAACTCACTTTTATTTCTGGACAATTAACAAGATAATAATTCAAGTAACTGTTAAGTGAATATTTACCTTAGCTTTCCGTACTATTACTTTACATTGTAATATATTTGGCTAGGGCACTTTTGTTTAAATGCAGAATGTGTCATATATTTATACTCTAAAAAAAAGCATTCTTCCCTTAACCTCAACTTGTTCTCGTTTTAAATTTTTTTCTTTCTTTATTTTTTTATTATATATATATATATTTATATATATATATATATGTTTTTTAATAATGAACTTGAATGCGTATAAGATGTTTTTTTAAATGTAAAAAGACAATAACAGTTCGGCCTCTATGTACATGATTTAAAGTAAACACGAAGTGTTCCATCTAGTGGACAAACTTCATTTATACAGAACGAGCCGCAGGAAGCAGGCTGTGTGTGTTAAAACAGTCCTATTGTTTGGTTTATAACCTATTGCTGCAGATATATTGAACACAGGTACATTAATCTGGAAAACAGACACGATCTACTAATATCTGTCTCCATGGCGTTCTAAACATATATACACATAGCAGAAATACACTCTGTATTTTGTAAGACTTAAAATATATAGGAATAGATTGAAACCCAGCCATATAATAGTGCTTCAATATTTAAACCTCTACATTAAAAGAATAAGTATAATAATAACAAAAATGTACTACAGTCTACTTCACAGTATATATATATATAGCTAAAGTGCAAGCCATAGTACAAGTAAATGTATATTTTCGTATAGTTAATCATAAAATAATAATTACAAAAAAGTTCTGTTTGTACAAGTATTCTTAAATTGTGATAAAAGTACACTACACAGCTCATCTATGGCCTTGAAATACATTGATTACATGTTTTATTTGTAATACAATATCAGTGTCAAACATTAGAAATTCTAGTGCATTTTCAGTTTCCCATCACTGGCCTTTGCATGTCGCTACTTGCAATATCTCAGTGAAACACAATTTAACAACATATATACTGGGGTAATCCACCCAATCAGAATTTACAGAGAATTGGCAAGGTAATTGCTGATTCTATGCCAAAATAACTGGTAACATTGTTCAGTTGGAGATTATTTACAGTTTGATTATTTTGTCTTAAAATTGGCCAGCAATTCCTTTTTTGGCGAATAAACCCCACAGTGCTTGTGTTTCGACACTGGCTAAGTAGCTTCTTTGGCAAGTGAATGGGTATTGACTTAAGACGAGTTATCAGCTACTACCGATCTGCAGCATGAAGTCATTTAGCATTTTAAAATGGTTAGTTTGAATCTTACATGTGGACATCATGAATCTCCTCAGTCTGTTAGTGAATAGCAGTTCCCATCATCCTGTGGAAGGCTACAAGTCATGAGTTCTCACTAAGATTCTGTATTTAGATTAACACTCCATTGTGTATGTTGATTTGGACATGACAGGTTTATTTTTCCTTTTAATGTTGATTTCTACGTATTTTTCTTGAGCAAAAAAAAATAGTTGTACTGATATTAAAAAGATTAGCATTCGGGATAAGTAGAAAGTTATTTAGGGGCCCCGATGATCATTTGATATACAGACACTCCTCATACACCGACCGGGTTCTGTTCTTACGACTTGGTCCTAAAACAAATTGGTCAGTAAGTGAGGATGTGATAAAGAACATGCACACCACTGCAGGTCTATGTTCAGGGAAATTTCCCCGAACATAGACCAGTGCAGTAGAGCAGGGAATCCTTCAAATATATGTCCAGGGGACATTCCCCAAACATAGATTAGAGGGATTCCCTGCTCTGGTGCGTTTGTCTGTGTTTAGGGGAGGATTCCCCAAACATAGACCAACTCTCTAAAGTGGGGAATCCCTCTAGAAAGCTGGTTGTAAGTCCGATTCGTCGTTAAACAGGTCAGTTGTAAAGTGAGGACTACCTGTATATTTGGAGCATACCACATTCAAGAACAGCTGATTGTTTAATGCCAAGCATATAAGGAGCCACAACGACAAGGAACACACACTAATCCTGAGTCTTTGGTGGACACTCAAAAAATAGATAACATTTATATGTTATAAAATTAAAATTGTCCAATTAATGAACTCAATGTTTATGTCCGGACAATAAACTTGCTTTTCCTACCGATTACCACACTTGTGCTATATTTGAAATAATTCAATTTCTGCCTGAGAATGCAGGGTATTTGTAGAACCCTTAAGTATAATTTTAGTATTTGTAAATTTTTATATAACGCAGAGTACTTCTGATAGAGCTCAGTCTTGAATTTTCTGAATATGACTGCATCAGGGATGTTAATTAAACTGAGAATTGCCAGGAATTAAAAGTGAGTTTCAAATTTAAGGCCAAAAGATACAAATTAAAAAGCTAAATTTTAATTAAACTATTTTCGCCTATATTTTTGAATTTTCTTTGAATTACCGCAAATTTTCGCAAAAATGTATTTGAGTTGGTTTTTCCAAATCCAAATCCTTATAAACCAAACCCAAATGAGTTGCTCCTTACTAGCCACTCCTGATTTGAGCCTGATTTAGATAAATTGGCAGATAATTGAAATTATGATTATCGTTTTGAAAGCTGTTTGCTGTTTCCTGATGGAATTCAAAGTCAAACAATGTACAATGTCCTCCCCCCTGTCCCTTTTAAAAAAAATTCTTTATTTTTGATGTGCATGTGTACATCGTGGATAATATACATGTAAAGGTTATAATTAGGCTTAATTTTTATCCATCAAGCAAAACAATAAACTGCACATTTTTTGTAAATAAAAAGACAAGATTAAGTCGATGCATTGAGGTGAGAGCCATAGATAAAGAGCTGTTAGGCATGTCGTTTGCACTTGGTCATCCAAAGGTATTTTAAGCAAGTCAATCAGACTGTACATGTGTATACAATATGATAATAAAGGCTTATTAATCAGTCAGGCTCATTAACTAAGGTAAAAACTGGTTAATCCTCTCTTTTTAGTGAATATGTAATGCAAGTTGTCAGGCACGTCTAGACTAGACATCATGAAACATTAGGCAAATGTGAACTGGATGTGTGGAGATGAGACAGTGATAATAAAGGCTAATTAATCAGTCAGGCTCGTTAACTAAGATATCCGCATCCTGGACGCGCTGGTAGATGGATAAAGGTGAGTAGGGGAAGGATTGCTCGAAGGGAGCTCCCTCCTCCCTCGGTCTGCATCCCTTTGGTTCTCCACTTGGATTTGAGGTGCTAATATCGACCCACTTGCCTCCATGTCTTTCCAGAAGCGGTCAAAGTGGCCGTCTAACCTCTTCAGGAATTGATCCACTACGCTCTGAATTTCCACTGCAGGCTGCGCGGGCTCAGAGGTTCCAGTAGTGAGCTCAGTTGCCATCTTGTTGAGATGTGCTGAGTCAGGCGTTTATCTGATGCTGCTACAGCAATGATACAGGTTGTGAGCCAGTGGGGGCTGGGATAAACCCTGATCCAGAGGGAGAGGGGGGTACAGTGCTCAGAGTGTCAAGAGAGAAAGCCCAGGCAGCACTGGGTAGAGAAATTGGCCACTTCCCGGGCCAGGGAACCACCAGGCCTCAACAGGTTATAGGCCACAGCCTCAGGCTTGCAAAGATGTTGGTGTTGTGATTTACTCCAAAGGTGCCCCAGCTATGCCAGAAGAGGGTACCAACTGAAGGAGGTTTAGTAGTGGGGTATTTCCACCTTTTAAAACAGCGTTTAGTTAAATTCAGTCAGGAGCTCAAATTGTCTGCGACCGTCCAGCCTCCTAGCCCTGCCCCATTTCCCCCCTTTTTTAAAGGTTGCAAAATCAAAAACATTCTTTCTTGTAGGATTTTGCCACATGGTTGCTGATTTTCCACAATTCACTGATTAGTGTATAGATCACAGTAATTCAATCCAAGTGGGATCATTCTCTGACACAGAAACTATTAAAATGTCTCTATTGTCACAGAGAATTTAAGTGGATGACGGACAAGGCACTTTAAGTCCATTATATCTAGATCCCAAGAACACAAACTATATCCTATCCTTCCACCATTTAATTTCAGTGCTTTGCAAATCAAACAATGAGGTACACATGTGATACAACTGCAAAAGAATTTATTCACTAAACTCCAGATTTTCATGGATTAATTCTAAACGGCAGAACTGAGGCAAAGATACGTGATCTGTGACTATCGCAAAACTGGAGAATATTTCCTGTGCAAACCACGCTTTTCACATTTGGAATAAATTCACAGAAGTTCTGGAGTTTAGTAAGTAAATGTCCCTTTAAGGCCAAAGTAACCAAACTGAAAAAATTCTTCCAGTCAGCTGTGCTTCCAGTAAAACATCTTTGACCTTAAATTTGAAATTCACATTTGAATTCTCGGTTTAGTGGATATCCATGTTAGATATATTCACTTAACAGTCAGTGAGCTGACAAATAACTTCCATAAAGGGTTAAGACAGATGGGATTTAGTTACTAAGAATCCAAATATAGTAAATTGGGAAGAGCTGTTAAAATTGAAAAGAGTTGAAAAATGTTTGAGACTCCGTTAAAAATTCTCCATCTCCAATGTATTTTGCTGACTATTTTTCTGTTCAGTACAAATTGCCACCACTATGTACCATTTATTGAATAGGCCCCTTTGAAGTCATATTGTATGGTACATGGTCATTTTGCTTTTGGTCAAAGTATAAATGGTTCATAGCTCAGTAAAATACTTTCTAAGACATCTTTAATGATGGCCTGTTATTTTGTTGTTTTCTTTTTTGTGTGTTTGTTTTTGCTGTTCTTTCTTGGATACGAAACATATCTGTGTTACAGTTTTGACTTCTGCACAACCCCCTCGGCTAATGGTAGATCGGCAGGCATAAAGTATTCATAGGTTTTTGTAAATCCCAGTGCCTATGCATTTTTTGTCTTCCAAAATTTTACCTGTATCCGTATAGCTTCTTTTTTTGTTGGTAAATGTGACCATCAGTTTCCCAAACCATCTCAGATAAATAAATAATTTAGGAATCCAAAACAAATGTGGGTTTTATAATTTGCTCCGTCTGAAAAATACTTTCCCTCTTTCCCTTGGGTCAAAGTCATTAACTACTGGAAGGCTATAGAATTTTAATTTCATTGTACGCGCAGGTAAGTGATTGTAAAATGGGTAAAATTTCTCTTCGATTGGACATTACCCAGGGGAAGTCTATCACCTGCCAGGGGGCAAATATAAATGAGTGGCCTTTGTTTTTCTGCACAAAACTCGTCAATCTCTGGTTGATCCAACGCACTTTATCATTGTAATACATGGATATGGGTTTAACAGATGCAGGCTGACATTATATATTCTTGCAACTTTCGTCAATATGTCCTGCACGACATGAGAAGACGTGTCTAAGAGATGCAGACTCTGATTCTCATAACTTCATGTCCACCAATGACGTCCAGCGTCTGGGAGGAATGTTTTGAATAATGTAATGACTTGCAAATACCCCCAAGAACACCACACAGTCTCATAATAGTCCAGCAACCTAGTCAACCTCTGATACCAGACTCCCATGAAATGTCCCAATTTGCCAGCTTTTAGACCAACCTTCAGTGCTGACCTAGAAAAATATATTGTGCTGTGAGACTATGGAACAACAGCCCTGTATGACAGTGACCTGGGGGGGGGGGGGTAGCAATTGCCCCATCACCAACCCTCCCTTGGACCTCTGAAATGTTGGCACTTCATTGACCCTACAACTGCAAAGGAATCCCTTTATTATAGATCTCCTTCATTTAGTTTCTTTGTTCTGATGTCTTCATGAGACGGATTGGTGGCCGACAGCTCTTTTTGCCAACAAAAATTATGCCATGACATTCACACCCCATGTGCTATCTGGACAAGTGGACAACTTAAACTCCACAAATTATTCTCACATAAGCAAGAAGGGCAGGAACTATGACTGATTCATCCACCAATTAATAAATGCTTGCACTGACCTTTCAAGCATTTTGTTTTAAACGTAACAGTAATAGAAATATCTCAATGCAGCAGATTAATGGCAATCATGAGTGCAAAGGTCTTGGATGATTAAAAGGCTAATGGAGAATATCTTAATTCAGTTGATTTAGAGCTTCTGCAACCTGAGGTAGAGATTGGTCAAAACAACATTAAGATCCAGCGATTGCCGTAAGTCCTTTGCTTACAGTGTGATTTCAAATTTGGTATTGGATATTGGATTGAAATAATGTATTTATCAGCCCACTAATAAATACTCTCTACATGAGAACTCTGTATGTCGCATAAGACATACAAAGTAAGAAACGCCATAATAACTGATAATTCTTTCAGTGTATCAATCTATGGAGCTCTGTTTCCAAATTCATATACCTTCATTATATTCCACCATAAAATTAACATAACATGTAGGGCATTTAAAAAAAACTAAAAATCACACTAGTGTTTCTTTCCAGGTGGGTTAAATATATATAACCAAATTAACATAAATTAGTGCTCTAAAAATAATGCACGTATCAGATTTAATGTAATTTATCTGGGGGCTTTTAATCACCATATATGGGAACTCACCAATATTTCTCTAGATATTCCATTTACTACTGCTAATTATTGGGCCCTTATAACTTGGATCTGTGAATATAGTTTAGGGAGTAACATCTTTCCCAATCCATGCTTTATCTCATTTTAATCAGGATATGATCACATTTTAGAAATTCACAGCCTCCTCTCTACTCATACTCCTTGCCACCCAAGTCCACCTTTGACCTTTGTGATGAGGGCTGCCAAGTCGATAGTTAAAAGGGAGAATTCAAAGCCACGGATCCACCGATGATGTTTCCAGGGATGACAATTGCATTCACATTCTAACATCACTTTACATAGCCCATTTGTAAAGGCAGCTAGGAAGCATACAACGTTGCCAATATAGTTGGGTGAATCCAATATATGTAGATTACTTCAAAGCCTCGTTGAGTTGAGTTTGAGTTACCATCACCTTCAATAGAAATATAGATCTTCTGCAAAAGACTCCTCAAGTGTGGAAGTAAATTGTGGCTCTTGTCTATTTTAGATGTACTAACAGGTCACAGTGGACTTTCTATTTTGTTTAAAGTTGAATGTGCTGAATGATCTGGTAGAATTCATGAAGTCCCTGTGAATTACAACCAGATTTTTTTGAATGCATACCCTAGCTCAGTGGTTCTCAAACCACCAGTTCTCAAGGATTACAAACAGCCTAGAATTTACATATTACCTAGGGTAATAGGGTGAACCATTGCATGTCTTGGACGGTTTAAGAAGCACTATCATAGATACAAACTGACCACAAACAGCTACCACATCGCTAAAATTTAGCAAAATAGGATTTTAATTGAGTAGCCCTCCTAATTTATGCTAATCCACCATGACCTTTCATTTGAAGACCATTACACTGGCACATATAGTCGGTTCTTGTGTTGGACATAAGGTACAAAGTTAACGCCAAGTCTGCGTGGTTTATAATATATATTATTATCTTTATTATATATTTTTTTTCTTCCTGCCTACAGAACAGATAAATATTTCCTTTGAGGAACATGCTGTACAGCAATATTTTTCTTCCATCTATCACATTTTACCTGTGATAATATAGTATTACATAATTTATTAAAATAAAAAATATTAAGCTATATATATATATATATATATATATATATATTCCTATATAGATATACATGTTACTTTATAAGTAAGAAAAAGCTGCAACCTTTGAACCTTTTCTAATTAAAAGAAATAGAAATATTCACAATTCTGTGTATACAACAGTTCCTTGTTTCTTCACAAATAGAGACAAGCAAACTGATTCATGCAAGTTTGTATTTCACAAGTATTTGGCTGTATCAAGGAACAGTGAATGTTGTCTCGTAAAACAAACTTTAGGATTCCATTACACATTTCAGCCAACAAGAAAACAAATTAGTGATACTATTGTGGTCTACTCACTAAACCGGAGATTTGATATGGAAATTGGACATTTTTGAGTCAAAATATCACCAACTGAAACATTAGTTTCCTATTTTTACCATTTTGGCCAACGCAATTCCCATTTCAGTTCTCAAAAATGTCCGTTTAGGCCTCAGTTTAATAAGCCTTCCAAATTATTCTGTACTGTTAGAAACACTTTAAAAATGATTTATCCACAAAAATTCCAGTAGACTTTTGTGACTTTTGTTGATAAGTCATCTCAAATGTTTTCTAAATCATTTGGAATACTGATTACATTGAAGCCTTAGTAAATAAACCACACTTTGGAGGAAAAAAAAACAAAACAAAACACTCTCCCCTTTCTGTGACAAACAACAGAAATATAACATTTTGTGAGAAGTTACTATTATACGGTTGAACGACTAAACACTGAAATATTGGGAATTGGGAGATAAAAGTAAATGTCTTGAATAGTAAAAGTTATGCTGAAATATTCAAATTACAAAAATAGTTCCTCCCGTTGAGACATTGATGGGATGGGCTGAAGGATAGCTGGTGACACAATGGGCCCAGCAGAAAGTGGGGGCATGTCAGCCTAGCACACATTCTCACATATGACCTCCTAAACTTAGAGGGGTGGTGAAATCATGCTCGACTTGTCGAAACTTTTGAAAATGCCTGCAGTGACTGCAATTATAGCCTCCTAATACTAGAACCATGATAATAACCTGTAAGAATACATGAAGCCATGCCTCCTTTGCTAGGAAGAATGAAAGCAGGGCACAATGGGTGGGTCTACAGGTGGTGTGCTACTAACCTATCCTTAAATATAGGACTATTGGATCATTTGTTACACTTTGATGTATTGTGTATGTCCTATCGGTTTCTGAGCTGCTATATTGAGACATGTGCCTTGGCAAGATTGCAGGTACGAAATGTTGCCCACTCACCTTGTTTAGTAATTTTAAAATGCTAGCGGTTACAAACGTGTCAGGTAAATAATCAGTTTTCTTGTGCTGTAGAGAAGAAAAGAACTGCAATTGTATTTCCTATTTTTATTGTAAAAATTAAAGGGAACACTGGCAAGCTTGCCCTTTTTTTGGAACTGCCATGTGTTAATCGTGCAGTTCCACATATGGCCTGAAGGGGCTGGCATGACTTGGTTAACCTCTCTATTCTTGCAACGTGTACTGTTTACCATGCACTGTACATGCATATTAGTGATATTTTTCGGCTGTCTTGTGCTTTGAAGTAATCGATGCCAGCCTCTACAAAGATGATTTTAATTTACATGCACAGACAATCCCTAGATAACTTGATTAACTCGTTAGATATAAATCTCTAGCACTAATTACTTTGGCTGTGTATAAGACCATAGGAAAATATATAGTGATTGAAATTGTATCTTTCATACCACCAGTGGCCATATGTGGTACTGCATGCAAAATACAAACTTTTTTTTTCTTTCTATTTTCTACCAATATTTTAGAAAATTAGAGAAGTGTAGAGGGCATTCACAAATATCCCCAGACAGCTCTGAGTGTGCACCGTCTCTCCTCAAGAATTGTTAATGGAACACTCTGGGCACCATAACAACTTCATCAAAATTAAGTTGTTATGGTGTGAGTAGAGTAGCTGGGCTCGGGCTTACCTCAAGGAGTTAAACCAAGTGACAAACAGTTTAAGCCCAGTGTCTTGAATCCGGCACTTGATTGCGCTGCCCATCTACATCCAATGCAGTCCGAGGTTTGAATTATTAAGCCTCACACTGGCAGTTGCCGATAGGCTGAGAGAGTCAGCTGATATTTTTAGCCTATCAGTAGCTCTCACATAACGACTTGAAAAATTTACATATTTTTCTCAAGCTGTTTTACGAATGGCGAGCTACTGATTGGCTGAGAGCATCAGCTGACTCTTCTGTCTTTCAGTGTCTCTCAATGGCTCCCAGTATGAGGCTTCCTGATTCAAGCATCGGACTGTAGTGGATGACCGGGGGGGCGGGTACATTCAACATTTTGGAGTTAAACTGTTCGTTAATAGTTTAACCCCTTGAGGTAAGCCTGCACCTGGGGACCTCCTCCCACCATAACAACTTAATTCCAATTGATCTTGTTTTAGTGCCCAGAATATTCCTTTAATTACTTCTCCAGTAATTCAGAACTACATTTATACTCTCAATTATTAATTAGGGGATATTGTTAGGGAAATATAATGTCATGGGAATATTAATGAAATAGATAAATCTTAAATCGTATGTAAATGTATGGAAGATGAATGGACTTTTTAAAACAATAATGGATCTTCTTATATAATATAATGATATTCAGCTATTAACTACCATAACTTCAATGTACAGAACCTAAAGATATTCCATATTAAGTCAATTAATGCTTTGAGTAAATCGGGGCCATCCATTGATACTTGAGCCAATGTGTATTTTCATTGTGTAAGGATAAAGTCTATTGAAGGACTGATACTTGCTAATCACAGTGAAATCTTCAGTGGTCTGTTTGTCTTTGACTAGAGTATATTAATGACATAATTAAGTGATTTACCATATGGATCGTTTTTTCTTAGTGGCTTATAAATGCACGGCAGTTGCGTGTTTAATCACAGTGACATTTTTAAAGGGTCAGGCCCAACTGCAAGCGAAGTTTACTAATGACAGTAATATTTTTACAGGGTCAACCCCTTTTAGAATTAAAGTGCACAAATCACAGTGACAGACATATTTATTCAGATAATCCATCTGTGGATCGGCATAGCATGGTGACTTCATATTTAAAACTATGGTTTTCTACGAGACTGTGTATAAAGATGAGCATTATCATAGGAAGCTAGTGAAATATGCCCTTTTCAGGTTTAAGTAGGAATTATTAAATTTCTACATATTTATTTATTTATTTAATATATGTGTTCAATATTTTCATATAAGCTTTTAAAATCATAACCTGTGTTATAGTAATCTGATTTTAGCTACAGAAATCACCATTAAGGTCTATGGGAATTCTTGTAGATAAATAATGTTAAAAGATTTTCAAACGGATTGTGATAATTTGAAAAACTCATCCAAAAATGTTATATTGACGCCAATATGTCGTAGAGCTCTCAAATCTGGCAGCTTCACAAAGGGTCAGATTGAGAGATCCATTGTTTAATGTATATTTTGGATGCTACAGGCTCAATAAAACATATTAATTTGAGGGAAAAGGTAAATTCTACAATAAGCTGACAAACTCTACAAACTTTTTTTTAGGAGTTTGGCTGTTAATAAACCTAAACAACCAATTTTTGATGAATTGACACATATATGTTCCAAGTAAGTCGTGAAACTTATCAAAATGAGCAATTACGTGTATATATTCAATAGTAAAAAACAATCAACAAAATCCTACTACAATTCGCTCTAGATTTGAAACTCTATTGAAACAACTCAGTAGTTCAGCTTACAGCGTTTTAGGGATCCTAAACGATTTGTCTTGAAAAGTGGGTGGAATTGACCCTTCAAAATATTCAAACTAACTGTCAATCATTAGTAAGAGAATGTGGATGGTAATTTTCGTTCCCACGAATTATATTTGTTTTCAATGGAATCTCATGTTTTTCTATGGTTTAATTTGACTTTGTAAGATTTTTATTAAGTTGTGTATACTTGTGTTTTTTTTTAAAGTTTTTGAAGCTATGTTTATTGAAGTTTTATTAAAAAAAATATTAACTTGTATAGTTCTGAAGATATATTATATTGATTTATAGTATATCTGAATTACAGCTTCTGGATGTCTGGTTTTAGATCTTCATTAAAATGCATTGAAATTATTTTTACATCCTCCATGCCATATATAGTTTGCGGCAGGTTTCTCAGTTTGTGGCCCCGAAGCCGTTGTTGGACTGCAGTTCCTAAGGGATGATGGGAATTGGAATTCAACAACAGCAAGGCCGGTGCAGGGTGCCCATTACTGTCCCAGAATAAACATTCTACACAAGATATATTATTACAAGCATGCCTTAATAGGACAGGACTACGCTTTCATCCAAGGTAGTGTACAAGATTTGTCACAAAAACAGTGCTCTATGGAGAAGAAATAGTTTACCAGAAGACACATATGGACAACAAGCACTGATCAGTTGTTAAATGGAAGAACCAAGTGATAAGCACCTGCTGTCGTTCTACGTATTGGATTGTTCACTTTGAGCATTCTTCAAGATGTATAGCTCATGAGCATTTAATTCTATAATAAAATTAAAATTCACTTTGCCATTATTTTCTGATAAATGTACATCTTTCTAGTTGCTTGCCCCATTAAATAAATATCATTTACAGAAGTCACAGGATAGTGGCACTAAATTCACAGTGGAAAGATTGATAATCCTGCAATGACAATTATTATTTTATACAGACATGTCCTTTTGATCCCTAGTACTCTGGGATTGACTAAAAGGGGAAGTATCATTTCAATATTTAAAGCAATTATATTTAAAGGATTTAAATAATTATTTCCAGTAACGTTGTTCTAACATTTATGTAGGGAAACATTGTCACAAATATACAAATTCTGCATTTTGGACTTCCTCTCTGCCTCTTTGCTAGTGTATGGAAAAGTCATTTTGGCTTGGAACTTTGTAAGTCCGGGACTAATATGTTTAGACCAAAAGATGATCACTGGCACTGAATGATACTTCCCCTTTAATTATGGGTCAACCCACAAACAGGTTATAACTAGTTCAAAGGCCTTCTTGCCCACTGATGCATGTCCCGCTAGCTCATATCACTAGGAAGCCTCGGTCTGCAGGATGCACAATATTAATCTTAAGGCACTAAGGGGCTGAACCAATTCTTTATGTCTGAAACCTATCTCTATTCGTAGAGGTGAAAATTTTTACAAATTAATTAATGTCACGAAATAGGATCCTATATGCTACAGTATATATGCATGAAAAGAAAATGAAATCTTAATTTTGAATTTTTTCTTTTGTTTTAATAAACAATTGTCTACTTTTACTGTGCCCATCAGCACCTTTCAGCAATTGTACAACATTTCTATAGTTCTCTGCGAGCTGCTGGCTTGCAAAGAATCACAGGAATTAAAACAATAGCAGAAAAGAAAGATTGTAAAAAGCAAGTCTTTTGATTTTATATACATAGATGCATTTCTAAATATATAAAATAGTTTGCTATTTGTGTAGCAGTGGAATGCTTCTTGAATTGAAGCATTGGTTCTTTGTAATATTTCAGCAAGGAAATTTTTTCTTTTTTTTCTTTCTGTGAAATGCAGATCTTGATACGTAGAACAAAAGAAAAAAATAATAATTTAGTAAATCATAATAATACTGACTTGTTCATGCAATGTCATAGGCATCCTGTGGCTCAATTCTCTTATCCAATGTATTTACAATCCATATATATAACATTATTGACAAAGATTACAGTGTTTCGTTGGATTGACTTTCCCGTGGCACCTAGCAATTGTATTGTTCATGGTGCCGCTGTGTGTCAGACGTGTGTTTCAATAAACGAATGGGTATGTGATAGCATGGGAGCTGGTGCTGCCAGTTCCGAGGCACCATTCTGAGGTTTCAAGGTTCCGCTGTACTCACAAATGTCCATGAAAAACTCAAAGTTTTTTTGCTTCCATTCTTTAAGCTTTTTTGACGTTAAATTCGGGTCATCTAGAAGAGTGTCGATGACTGCAAGATCCCCTTTTTTTGCCTGGAGTTTAAGGAATGAAGAGCGAAAATCTGAATTAGCAAGTGAGATAAAACAGGGAACCAAACAACTATGTCTTGAAGCCAAACTTGTTAAAATAATTTTTATTTTTGTATACAGTTTTATATCCATGGACATATGCAGAGGTTTTTCTAGATGTGGGTGAAGAACAACAAATTCACAAATGTGAGACCCAGGTGCTCCCTGAGTATGTGTTTTGCTTTTAATGGACTTTTAATCAAGCAGTCTGACTCAAGAGCTATATAAGTAGTGCTACTCAACTTACTTTTCAATTCCCCATGAGACACGGATTCTAAACGCTGTCTGTTTGATTATTCGTCCAAACAAGTTGTACCAAGACGTATTTGTCTATAAATTGTTAAATTCTCTAGGTAAAGAAATGGTCGGCCAACTGCAAAAGACCCCCAGTGAAAAGCACCTGTAACAGCGAAACTTGCATTCTGTTTCACACACCATTCTTAATGGAGCATAGCTGTGCAAAATATTGCAGAATATTTGCACAGTATTCTTAATGGTGCATAATTGTGGAGGTGCAAAAACTTTTCAATAAACTAAGGAGAAAAGGGAACTTTTCAGACTATTTTTAATAAACATTAAAGTAAAACTATAACATTAGGAATACAAACTTGCATTCCTAATACTATAATGCCTTTCTCACTAGTTATGTTATCATCCACACCTTCATGAAGGAAAAGTGTGAATTTATTTACCTTTTTGTTTCCGTGTTGCTGTTACCTCCTTGACTGATATTATCAAGACTGATGATCTCAGCCAATCCCATGCTTTCTCACAGGAAAGCATTGGAAGGCAGTTGCGCATGCATGGCAAAATGCCAGGTTGGGTCATTTAGATGGTCTTTATGAGACCACCTGAGAGAAATAGCAGCATAAAACTTAGCTATTTCAGAGGAAGTGCCTCTAGTGGTTGTCAATGTCGCATCTACTAGAGACATTTAAAACCTGCAATGTAAACATTGCTGTTCCTGTGGAACAACAATATTTTACGTTGCAAGGCTAAACAGACACGGACATAGCACTCAGATTACTTAATTAAGATGAATTGGTCTGTGTGTCTGTAGTGTCCTCAAAATGTTCAAAAATAATACCAGGAAGTATTACTTTACAGAGAGGGTAGTTGACACATGGAATAGCCTTCCAGCTGAAGTGTTGTGAGGTTAACACAGTGAGTGAGTTTAAGCATGCGTGGGATACGCTATCCTTACTATAAGATAAGGGACTAATGAAAATATTTAGAAAATTAGGCAGACAAGATGGGTCGAATGGTTCTTATCTGCCATCACATTCTATGTAATACATTTTAACCCCCCAAAATAAACTTTAATAAACCTCCCCCATTGAGTATTAAAGAAAGGCTGGGGCTTTCTCTAACATGATATCAACCTGTTTTTAGTTAACCTTTACTGACCTACTACTGGTCAAAGTATCTGTCAGTCACTGATCCACTTCCCGCTGCTCTGTCATTGGCTGATGAAAGCCACACTCATCACAGCGATGCATGGGTCAATAAAAGTGCACACTTCAGTAATGCGCTGAAAGGTGAGCCTGCAAGGTGGGTGTTCAATCAAGGTGCAGGGTCAGTATGTGTTAAAACATTTTCCTGTTCCTCTACACATTAGTTGTACTCTATGTTTACACAATAAACAATTTCTAGTTTACAGACACCCATTATACCAGGCTGGAGCTCTGATGCCTACAGTAAATCTGTTGTTACATTGTATACTTACTTTTAAAGTGCTTTTTAATACTCTAATGCGGTGGAGCTTTTCATTTAGAACTGGGTCGTTGCACCTCTTTATGAAAGACCTCCTGAATTCCTGCTTGGTTGAAGGCCGCTGCTCCCCAAGGGCCGATAGACTTGCTTGTTCCAGTGTACGATACAGTTCCTGCAGCCCATCAGTGCTCGATCGGTTTTCTTTCTTGTTTTCTGAAGAACAATTGTTGAAATGTAAATTTTTTTTGGAATCATCTTCTAAACGATGAAGGTTGGAGGACATGTCTTAATCCAAAGGTACAGCAAACTAGGAATTGTTGATTTAACCCCTTAAGGACCAAACTTCTGGAATAAAAGGGAATCATGACATGTCGTCATGTGTACTTAAGGGGTTAAGTATATCTCTCATGGATACATTAGTAGGTACAAAACATTAAACATAATTTTTAACAATGTTCTTAAAATGCCAATCAAATACATGTACTTTTAAAAGTGTGTTTTTTCCCCCAAAGCATGACCTTCCCTCCTCTATCCAAAATGATCCAGTCACTGGTGGTCAAGTACGTTTCCTGCAATGAGAAGTATTTTTATTTTACATGCAATCGTCAAGGGGGGCCACAACTCCTCTTCTACTTTAACGTGAGTGATTTAACTTAGAGACCTCAGCGAGAATCACTCTGATTGACAAACAGTGATGTTAGATCGTGGCTCATGCTGATTTGCTAAGCGTTTTTCTTCAAAAAAGACGTGCCACTTTATTACCAATCAGATTACATTGCTAATAATGTTTTGCTTCTATGAAAAAAAGTAAAAGCGAAAACAGCGTAGACTTCTTTAAAAATAATCCAATAAAGACTATAGATGGTGGGCACTTACATATATAAAAAAAAGCTGAAAAAACCCCAAAACAAAACAAAAAAAGGTTCAAGATTTGTTTTTGTGAAAATAAACCCATTGTTATGCAAAACCACATTTTACACAAGGTGTAATGAAACTGTGGACAACCAAATTACTATAATGTAATACATATGTCAAACTTTCTAATGGAGGTATGGTTATATTTAAGGGGCTAAAGTGCTCATTTAATTAAAGCTGCTATTTTTGTAACAAATATACATGAAGATTCTTTAGCCCTTATGAGCCTGTAGACACTTAGTAATTTAATAATTTAATAATTACACTTGTATTGACTGAAACCCCTTGTATCTGCACTCTTGAATTAGTGATACATTTATATAAAATATGTTTTGAGGAACAATATTTTCTGTATCATCACATAGAATCGTATTACCATATAATCTACTCGCGAAGGTTTGCTGGATATAAATTTAGGTGGTACAGGTTTATTTTCTAAATTATGATTTGTGGAAAACCGACAATAGGTTGCAATTGTCAGTCAAACACTCCTACTAAAATAAACATTTTATATATGTAACTCTGGTCAGAATTTTCAGTGTTAAGAATGTACCATGATTAAGAAAAACCTGAGTACATTTATTCTTAGTGTATTTAAAACAAACAAATAAACAGTTTGATCCCCAAGGTGACAGTGTAATTATCAGCTTTCACAGGAACATAATAAGTTATCATCCTACTAAGGAGATCAATATATCGGCAGTCCTGATAGTGATAATGTTAAAATCGCCATGTATCAAAATCATATATTTCATCAGTCACCTACAGATCTACACAAAGTAGCAATTTTCACGTCTCCGTAGAGTCTATCAGAGTATGTTAGACTCTGATCCATCAAGTTATGCTTGCATTATTTAAGAATGATCGTCTACGTGAAGGTAATGAGGAGTGATCATTAGCATGAAAATAGTGATTGGAGTTGTTTAATGCTGTGTAACATGCAAACATATACCTTGTATCTAAATACATAACGAAATGGACATTCCAAGGTTGTTATTTAAGGGCATCTTGCAATACTGCTTTCATTTTACAGTGACAAAATCATGTCACAAACTCCATCATGATGTGTTTTACTAGATGATACAGGGAAATGGTTTTTGCCATCCATTAAGTAACTGTCCACCAATGGAAATATTAGGAGAGAGGATGGCACAGAGAGGATTAAATTAAGGGGAGCGAATGAAAGAAAATGGAGGATGGTATAAGAGAATGATGAACCTACTACTCAATTTTCCTTAACTTCTTCCCTATTCAACATTGGTTCTAGTATTCAATAGAATAAACAGAGACAATTGTTTCCTGAGTCAGATTCCAGAGAAGAATGGAAAAGAGTAGTTTTTCTCAGCTAGAGTGGTATTACCATCTTAAGCTCCAAATACTGTGAACTGGTGCACTTAGCAGGAGGTTTACAGATATTTTTAAATTTGAGATGCTAGCCCGAAGAAAAAAGTAATTATTACATTTGTAAG